AACCTCATCCCATTGGAATCAGCCCAGCTCTCCAGCCTGTCCAGGTCCCTCTGCAGAGCCCTCCTGCCTTCCAGCTGATCAACACTCCTCCCCAGCTTGGTGTCATCTGCAGATTTGCTGATGATGGACTCAATCCCCTCATCTAAATCATCAATAAAGATATTAAACAGAACTGGGCCCAACACTGATCCCTGGGGACACCACTGGTGAACAGATCCCAACTGGATGCAGCCCCATTCACCACCACTCTCTGGGCCTGGCCCTCCAGCCAGTTCCTGACCCAGCACAGGGTGCCCCTGTCCAAGCCATGGCTGCAGCTTTTCCAGGAGAATGCTGTGGGAGACGGTGTCCAAGGCTTTGCTGAAGTCCAGATAGACCACATCCACAGCCTTCCCCTCATCCACCAGGTGGGTCACCTGGTCATAAAAGGAGATCAGGTTGGTCAGACAAGACCTGCCCCTCCTAAACCCGTGCTGGCTGGGTCTGATCCCTTGTCCATCCTGTAGGTGCTGTGGGACTGCACTGAGGATGATCTGCTCCATAACCTTGCCAGGCACTGAGCTACAGGCCTGTAGTTTCCCGAGTCCTCCTTCCGGCCCTTTTTGTGGACTGGCGTGACATTTGCCAACTTCCAATCATCTGGGACCTCCCCAGTGAGCCAGGACTGTTGGTAGATGATGGAGCACTGCCTTCTGTGATGTGTAACTGAAATAGCAAAATAGGGGATGTTTTGGGTTAAAACTTTTCCCTACCTGGACCCTTACAGCACTCTTGGTCATCAGAAATCTCCAGTGATGCAAAGACCATGCACTTCCAACGACTGGGTTCAAGCAGCCTCTCCTGCTTTCAACAGGAAAAGACCTTTCAGCATTTCCATCTATTCAAAAATAACCCACTGATTTCAGTCCCTCACAGGCCAACAAATGTGAACCCCTCAATAAACACCAGAGCCCTACACTAGCCTTGGGCTGCCTTCTGCCTGGTGAGCACTTGGCAGACACATCCACCAGGAAACCTCATACCTCTCCTGCGGAGACGCTGGAAACTGGCTGAGAGGGAATGCCAGTGCCTAACACAGGCCACCCGAAAGTCCTGGATGCAGAAGGCCCAGGTGGAGCACCCATCTTGGTCAGGGGAAGGTGGGAGGCATCGGCACCTGCTCGGTGCTTGCAGGAGCTGGAAGCCCCACTGGAAACCTCAGGGTCTGGGTAGGCATTGTGCAAATGAACCAGCCATACTTACAGGCTGGGGAAACTCAGGGCAGCAACCAAAACACAGAAAGAAAAAGGAGTAACTTTCCTACAGTCTCTGTGCTGGAGGCACCAAAATGGAGAGGAACAGGGAGTTTCTGAAGCAGGCAGGAAAATCAGATGCTGCTCACAGCAAGCAGAGGAGCCCCAGCTTTGCTCTGGGTCAGTTCCACTGCTGCTCTGCACGAAACACGTGTAGAGAAATCCTGAGAGCGGAACTAATACTCATATTGCCCATTAACCGAATTAAAAATATATGGTGAATAAATGAGTGTATACATCACTTACTACATAGATACACACACAAACAGAGTGTGTGCCCCGGGTATACACACACATACTCACACTGTATATATATATATGAACCCCTATTGCTTGAGTGCCCACACCATATACAGCCCTACGGATACAAACACGGGTATTTATACGTGTACAACAGAGACACACTAATGATTTCTATAGAAACATTATACATTAATAAGAACACACAGAGTAGAAAGGAATTTGCAGCCAAAATCTAATTGGGGCAGGGGAAAAAGACAAAACCCTACATAGTAACACACGCAACTTGGAAAAGTTGAGATTTCTAAGAAAACAAAGGCCTTGGAGAAAGACAGAGCATGTGGGAAGGCTATGCTTCCCCCCCCCCTTGCCCACCTCTCCCTGCAGGGCTGGAAAAACTTTTGCATTTTGCTGTTTGGTGACTTTTTGTGAAACGAGAGGAGAGAGGGCATAGGGAGGGTCCCGTGGCATTGAGGTGATCAGCAGCAGCAGCCACAGAGAGGTAGAACTCTGCAGAGAGCTGAGCAGAGATGCTGGGGGACAGCGTGGGGGGCTGACAGGTAACGCAGGCATCCAGATGAAAGGTGTCCCAACTGAGACGTTCCTCCTTTATCCACAGTGTTGAACAGCACGATCCCAGGGATGCTCAGACTTATTATCATAAGGCATTTTAAAAAAAGGAAAAGACTTCCACTTTTCCTCACCCCAAAGACTGTGTGCCAGGAGAGTGGGAACTGTGGAGCCCCTATTTTGGGCTCACTGAACACTGTGGTGTTATTACTGCAGTGGTATTATTACTATGAAATTTTTTTAGAAAGCCCCTACAGACCCCTTCCTATCTTATCCGGTGCTGTGCAAGCTTGCACCAACCCTGACTACAGGCTGGCCTGTCCTTCCCAGGGCACAGGGACAAGGTTCCACTAATTTTGACCACATCTGGAGTATCTCAGTTCCCACCAGCAAAAATACACAGGGGAAAGCATCAACCACCTCAAGTTGTCTAAAACAATCTTCTTGGATGTCAGGAAAAACAAGAAAAGGAAATAAAAAGGTGAAGCCAAGGATGGTGCCAGAAGATAGTGGAGCCAGAGAGTCCCTCAGTGGTATTTTATACCCTGTGAATTTTTCAGGTCAACTTTCCCATGTTGGGACATCTATCTGTTTTGGGAAGGTTTGAAACACCACAAAGACTTCTACAGATTTCACAAATTTAAGGCTGGCATCCTTGGGAAAAAAAGTGAAAAATTTGAATTAAAAAGATCAGCCTCTAAGTGCCTGAGTGCAATGTTAGAAAAAGAAAATTAAAAACCAATTTTTTTTGCTTTCACTTAAGGCTCAGTAAAGTTGTTGCTTGTTTCAAGTAATTCCTCCCCATCCACATCACGGTCCTTTGGAAGCAGCACTGGCATACGCAGAGCATTGCACAGGGCTCTGATGATGAAACTGGCACTTTCCAAAGGTTGCCAAAACCCCAGAGCAAAAAAATTACTCCATCCCAGTGATCCTATGATGGTGGCACCATTCATGCACACAGGAAAAACTCGGGCTCAACTCAGATGACCAGAAAGCCTGACTGGCCACTTAACAGCTGTACATCAATTAAAAAAAAAGTCCCATCTCCTCCCCAGTCTGCCATCCCAAGGAGGAACCTTCTGACAACGTATGTGATGAAAAGCTGTCACCTGCCTTGCCACCTGCCCCAGCCCAGCTCTGTGCCCAGGACACTGGTCAGTCACAGCAAACTCCCTCGAGTGCTTTAAACACTGCACTGCACCACCTGTGCCTGCGTCCTTGTGGCAGGAGACTTAAGCATCTTTCCAAGCAAACATCCAGAGAGGCACAGTGCCACACCTGGGATCAACCTTTGCTCTAGAAATCTGGAGTGAATATAACTTATCATGGGGCAATTCTGAAAACCCATGTAAAGGAACAGCAAAGCACCCTGTTTGGTAAAGCACTGAACATGTGCCTCCATGTTTCTCAGCAGGGATGCTTTAGCTCAGGTAGGGTCAACCAAGGAAAGTGATTCACAGTTTTTTCCATGGATACTCTGATTCCTTGTCTAGCTGCCACACAACATCCCACTGATGAAAAATCGGATTCGAAACTGTCTGGGTCCAGCAGCATCAGAAACCATAACTGTTAAGTTCAGGCCTCCAGCACTGTGAATGGAGAACTAATCAGCAAGCTGTAAGCCTGTGTCCTACACAACAGTAAAAGCCATGTCCATGGCACCATCTCAGGTGCTCACTTACTGCCTCCAGATTAACGTGAAATCCTGGCTCACAAAGCCTCAGGAAAATCCTGCAAGAGGCTGTCTCTGAAGCGTGGTTGGAAAGCCCTCAGGAAAAAGGCAAGATCTGCAATTTCTTTATGTCAAGACTGGAGTGGAAGAAGTTGAGAAATGCAAGATATACTGGGGCTGCTAACCACAAAAGAAGGGTCCTCTGCAGACGGTTTCTCCTTTCACCACTCCTTGCTGCATGGTCACACACGGGGAAGACTGTTGGCATCCACGTCTTGAGCAACATTTGCTCTCCTGGCACTGGTCCTCACTGTCCTCCACGGTGCTGGGAGCAGCCGTGGGCACAACTCGGAGCCAGGTGGCACTACAGGCCTTGATGGGCAGCTCCTGTGGTACAGACACACTCCTGCTGCCCCGGAGCAGGAAAAGCCCCCATCACCTTCCTGTGACAAGACCAGATGGAAACACCTCAGACTTTAGGCATTTTCAGCACCATTCTACTTTCAAAGGGCTGCACACTGAACCCAGTGGAAAATCCCATGGATCAAGACCCCAGCCAGCAGTGATTTCCACCTGGGAGATGAAGGAGATAATGAAAAACTTACAGGAGGGTCCCCACAGGGCTCTGGCACCTTTCTGGCCATGGTGGGTACAACCTGTTGTGGCTCTTGGCCAAGGTGGCCTGTGATGTGCTAGAGCAGATCTCCAGGGAGCCCAGGCAATCCTCTGTGTCCCCATGTACAGAGTGGATAGGAAAAAGTCTGAGGGGACAGGAGAAAAGACACCTCCCTCCTCCTGCTGGCCCTGGGGGACAAGGGCTGGAGGATGGCTCCAATATGGGACAAGGGGACAGTAGCTGTCTGGGAGCAGGAGACAGGAGACATCCTCTCAGCAGGAGGATGCTGGGAGGAGTGAGAGGGTGACTTGGAGAAACTGGGCAAAATCAGCCAAGCTTCAATGCAGACAGAAGTCTGGGTGACACCACCTGCAAGAAACTGGCCAGAGCAGCTCTCCCCTCGTCCAGGCTTTCTCAGAGCAGCCAGGCTTTGACTGCAGGGAGAAGGGAAAAGAGGAAAAGTCAAACAACTGGATATTTTCCCCTTTTCCAACACCAAACAGTTCTCTTAGGGGAAACAGAACCCAATTCCCACCCTACCTCAACACAGGTAGTGATGGACAGTCCTCAGAAAGTCTGATGCGAGGAGACAAGCCAGCACTATGTGACGTCTTTTCTGTTTAATTCCACATTTCATTTTGTTTCTGGTTTTCAGGGCTCTCTGAGCCAGTAGCCCATCCATCTGCTCTCGGCCTGTCCTGCTGCTTTCAGCCAGCACACCCACGGGGAGAGACGGGGACCCCGGGCAGCTCCTTCCACACTGAGAACACAGGCAGGGTACACTTCACCTTGGAGCTGAACATCAGGAAACCACCTGAACTCCCTTTCCTCCTTCCCCTCATTCATAAATTTAATAAAATAACAATAATAATAATTAAAACAAAGGCTTATTGGAGCTGTTTCTGCTCAGCTTTCCACAGTCTCTTTTCATGTCACTCTCTGTAATCAGATTTTTCAAGAAATACTGTCAGAAAAAAAGAAGAATAATAATAATTATAATAATAATAATAATTATTATAATAATAAAAAGCATCTGGAACCAGCTCAGAACATTTCTAATGCTTTTCAGCTTGACTGACTTGGAGTGCATTGACCACACCATTTATATTTTCTTCAGGTACCTGCAAGAAAACAAAAAGAAAGGTCATGACCTCCAGCAAAATGGATGACAAGGAAAAGAGAGGCAGGAGACCAAGTCCCAAGGAGGCAGGTACTTTGCTGTTGGACACCTGAACTCCACTGAGAAAGGACTCCACATGCAAGGACACACCTGTTAACTCATGGTATCCCAGGAGTTAAGTTATCCCCTTGCTAAGTGAAAGCCGGCTGGTTTGCTGTCATATGGTGGGTGCTCATGGCAGGGAAACTATTTGGGAGTTTCTCTTTCTCTCCCCTCTTCCTCTCCCCTCCTTTCCCTTCTTTTTGTTGGTGAAGGCCTTGTACACCAGGAGCTTGCTCATGCAAGGTGCCTGTGCTGACTGATTTATGGGGCTGCCTAGGGGCTCCATGGGGCGTTCAGGGGTATCCTACAGGTTTGGGACCCATAAGCTGGGAAGACCATGCTGGGTGTCAGGAGAACACACCCATTAAACAAAGAAGAGAACCACCAGTCTGCTTGTGATGGGATTCCCAGATGGTGTGGTGTAGCATCTACACCTTCATATCCAGTCTTGTGAGGAGACCTAACCATAGAAGTCCATATACAAAATTATTAGTGGGTATCTTTTCACACTTACTGCAAGAAAAATCTCTTGTAAAAGAAGATGCAAAAGCTCTCAGAGCAACTGTCATCAGTAGAAAAGAACATCGCAAGTGAAGTTACATCAGACAGAAAAGGGGCATCTGACTGTTACATAAACTCCAAGACACTGCTCAGGGAACAGGTAGCTCTTGGAAAGCGGAAAGAGGACTGAGGGAAAAATGAATTGTCTGTGAGTTGCTGCAAGAAGCCAAAATAATTCACGTTAAGTAAGTTAAAGGACTGTCTCCTCTGCGAGAGGAGGAGGCCCAGAGCACAATACCTGGATTCACTGACAATTTCCAGAGCTCAGACAGTCGGAATACAACTGGACTGTGACTTTCTGCAAGGCTTTTAACAAAACTGAGGAAAAAACCCATGAGAAATAACAAGAAAAATGTACAATTTTCCAATGGGAAGATAGAATCTCTGATGATGTGTGAACAAAAGTCAGCTTGGAAAGGAAGAAAATAATCTCAAAACAAGCACACAGAAAACTCTTCTGGGTTAGGAACAAAACCCCAGTATACCTCCACCACTGGGAACAGGACTTTCCATTACCTCCCCCTTCCATCATTTTTCCCAGTACGCTGAACACTGCAGTGGAAGAAGCTGTTTGACTCCTTGCCTCTCCAGAAGATGAGAAAAGGCATAGGAGTCAGTTTTTCAAACCACACTCTCCTCGTCAGCCCCAGCGATGCTCAGCAGTACAGGTCTCTCCGTATGCTCTGTTAGCACTGGACAGAAGCAGGAGAAAGCAGCACTGGCCAGTTCTGGCCAACTGACTTTGACCTGCACAGACCCACCTCCTCCCTGAAACACGCTGGGCTGGTCCTTCACTCCCTGAAAAATGCCTGACTCCCTTAACGGCATGGAAATGGTATCAATCACCCCACAAATGTTTGGGCCGGATTTTCTCCAGGACAGACATGCAAATGGTTTTGCTTTGCAGGACCCATCCTATTTTTACCAACAGTGGAGGAGTTCTACCCCTCCCTGCCCCTTGGAAATGATCCCTGTCCCAGGGCAGCTGGTGCACTGTGTTCACTTCTCAGCCAGTGCACAGATGAAGCACCAAACATGAAGGGAGAAGTAAAGCTCTAAACTACATCCCAGACACAGTTTCAGCCTCTTCAGAAAGAAAATGCTGGTGAAGGAGAGCAAGACATCTGTGAGCATGAGGCAGCCAAGAGCAAAGCACCTGGAAAGAGGAATCTTCTCCCTTGCTCTCTCTAGAGGGAGCTGGAAACCGTGGCTCTCACTAGGCCTTTAATCACGCAGGGGACAGGCCAGAGACCTGGAGGTTCCCATCTCCAACACTGTCTCTATTTCCTCTCAAGCACAAGTCCTGATTTCCAGGGCAAACATCTACAGTGACAGCACTGCAGGAAGACCTCAGTATTATTAACACCCCAGCGACAAAATCCACCTTAAGATGCGCAGTAGAAAAAAAACCAGATCAAAAGGAACAACAAACTTTTATAAAGTGGTCCAAATTGTTGACAACAGGTCAGTACCTTGCATAAAGACAGGGAGGATTTAGAGAAAGGGTTCAAGATGCACTTAGAGCTTGAGAAATGTCACTAGAAGTCATGGTATCTGGGTAGCAAAGTTAGGGAAAATACGACAAAATCTAGGTCAGGGTCTTGGCCAACACGACCACCCTAGAAACAAAAAGCATTAAATCTGGTCAGTGTGCCCAGAGCAAAGTCAGGTAAAGAAGGGCTTGAAATGCACCTTCCAAAGGATGGAGGGGTTTGACAGCTAGAAAAGCATTGTCCAGGTGAAAAGGCTTTTAAAACCATATATAAAGAAAATGCCTAGTAGCAAGGAAAAACACTAAAATACTGCTTTGAGTAAGGAAGATCTGCAGACCTCAGTGCATGGCCTCAGTGCCCTGCCAGCTGATGGGAGGCAACATCAGGCCCCTCCTGTGGGGCTGGAGGCATCAGGATGAAGCACTCCAACAGGGTGGAGCTGCCTGCAGAGTCATCACAACTGTATGGCACAAGTTTTCGGTTAAATACCTCTTTTAACTGACAGGGTTGAGCTCTCCAAATATGGCTTGACACCTAGAAGCACTCTGCACCTTATGCTCTGCACAGAAAGTGGACACTTGGGGCCACACAATGGCAAGAATGTGAGGCAAAGCTAACAGTATTGATTTTTAAATGGTGTTTTATTAGCTTATCTTATCAGCACAGTTAAAATTCAAGAAAATAAGACAAACATATACAACACTTTGACCTTTGTTATCTGAAATAATATTTACTTTTACTCTTTACACACATGACCTATCATCTGCTAATGGTTCATACCAATTATGAAATTAAAGCTCTCCCTGAGCCCCCCAAAACCTGCTTTGAACTCACTGGAGCTTTCACAGGTCAAAGGTAGGGCCTGAGCAGTGAATTTGCAGTGATGAAAGGAGAAGTATAATGCAATAGAGGGCACATTTAAAAAACCACCACAAAACTCATAACGCAGCTGAGTTTTGCAGCCTTGTTAGCACATGGGCTACTGACTCCCTTCCTCAGGACCAGGGAAATGGGCTCCAAGACAGATGCCATTCTGCTTCTGGCTACAGGCACAGCAATTTTCCCTTTCCAGGGAAAGTCCTCATTTTTGAGGGCGTCCTGTAAAGCCAAAGGAAGAGCAAAGGTAGGCCTAAAAAGTAAAATATCCATCAGTATAAAAGAGAACTCTGCAAGGATGGCAAGACCCTCATGTTGATGATTGTGCTGTAACTGCGTATGGGCACTCACCAGAACAAACATGGTAACAAACTTATTTGCTTCAAAATTGCCTTCCCTTGCTGTGCTGGCAATTATTGCTCGTTTATCAAAGGTCTGCACCATGAGGAGGAAGATGCAGGGGCAGCGAGCTAATAGATGGGTTTTGAAACACAAAGGTTAGGGCCATGCAGGCACCAAGAGATGAAGGCAGGGGTCTGTTATTGGGAGACTCTCCAAAATGCTCCCCACACACAAAGGCACCTGGGATGGCCCACCCTTAAGTGGAAGGAAGCACCTAAAGGGGCACCTTCTCCTTAAGGGTGGGTCATCACAGCACCATCCCGAGCCTGCAACTATGTCTGCAGCAAAATGGGAGAGGGTTTGTGGCTCTTTCTAATAAAATATAGGGTTGCAGCTAACAAGACTGCTCAGAGAGGCTTGAAGTCTCCATTGCTGCAGGTCTTTAAGGACTGGGAGCAGCCTTTTTCCAGAACAACACTCACTAACACAGCTTTGCCTTTGGGCAGGACTGGGCTTGGTTCAGGAGCCTCTGACACAGGGCAGTGACAGCCAGGAGGAGGCTGGAGAGAGGTGTCTGCTGGGCTATATCGAAGCAAAGGCACTCCAACAAGCTATCCAGATGGAAATGACATTTTCATCATGAGTTTTCTCCCAGGGAAAAGATCTGCCCTATTGCAAAAAAGCTGTCTTCATACTCACCAATGCATGATCAAACTTAAAAGTACTGATATAGTAGGCTGGGATGTCGGCTGCGGCCAAAGGCTCAGAAATCTGAGCAACAATTCCACATTCATCTGTGGGGAGACAAAAAATCAATCATTGTCTGGAGGGGCTTGGAGAACTTCCAGGACTCACCAACTCCACAGCTACACAGGGAGCAGTTTGTCTTTACAAACTCCAACCAGAAGGAATCTCTGTAATGAAATGTGTTCTTTCTCACAGAATCAGGCTTTTTTTTGCACATTTAATTTTATTACCTTCTTTTTGCTACAGAGCAGATCTCTAAAGGCACAAAACATTAGAACTGAAACAATTTTCAGAGGTCCAAAGAAAGGCACTGAATGATGTTCAGGAGGAAGCATCACAACCAGCCTCATATGCCCTTCACCTCCATTTTTCTCTGCTATCAAATACTTTGCCCTGCACCTTTGAAAGAGGAGATGCTGACCCACCCGTCACCCTGGAGAGATGGTTCCTAGGCTGCAGCCCACCACAGCCCCTGAGACAGGATTTCATCACAGAACATTAATGGGTTAGAATGGACCTTAAGGATCATCTAGTCCCAACCCCTCTGTCACAGGCAGGGACATCTCCCACTAGCCCAGGTTGCTCAAGGCCTTATCCAACCTGACTTTGAACATTGCCAGGGCTGGGGCATTTGCAACCCCCCTCTGCAACTTGTGCCAGTGTCTCACCACCCTGAGAAAAAGTTCTCCCTAATATCTAACCTAAATTTCCCCTCTTTCATTTCGAACCCATTGTCCTGTCACTGCAGTTCTGATGAAGGGTCTCTCCCTGGCTTCCCTATAGGTCCCTTCAGATACTGGAAAGTTGATGTGAGGTCTCCACACAATCTTCTGTTCTCCAGGCTCAACAGCCCCAGCTTTCTCAGCCTGTCTTCATAGCAGAGGTGCTTCAGTTCCCTTATCAACTTCGTGGCCTCCTCTGGACTTGCTCCAACAGTTCCATGTCCACACAAGACCTGTACACAGTGCTCCAGGTGGGGTCTTACAAGAGCAGAGTAGAGCGGGAGAATCACCACCTTTCGACCTGCTGGCCCTGCTCCTTTGGATGCAGCCCAAGATCTGGTTGGCTGTTCAGGCTATTCGGTTGGCTTTCTGGGCTTTAAATGGAATTTAAATCGTTCATCTGTCTTGTTTGTTGCAGATAAAATGGTACACTGTTTTCAGATGAAACCTTGAGTTTCACCAATCCAAATTCAACATTTCAACTTGATTTTAAGTTAACATATTTAAACATCACATATGTAGGGGCCTGGTCAGTGTCCTGATGTGCCATCAGTGACATATCTACATATTTTGCCTCTAAGATGCTTAAAGAGAAAGTACATGAAAATTTCCTTCCTGCTACTTTTGTTTGTCTGGTGTAGAAGTTGCAATTAAATATAAAAATTGGCCAAACATTTTTCAGAAATGTTCTTGAAGCTTGTACTTTGTAGCCCATGGGAAGGAGCCCCCATGTTTCCTGAAGATCAGGTCTTTGTTGCAGTTTTCAGATCAGACCCTTAAAATTGCAGGGGACACAGAAATAAGAAGAACATGCCTCCAGGCATGAAGCACTTGCTCTGTGTTACTTTAGACCAATATTTTTTTGAATAGAGAAAACATGCAGCACTGAATGTGAAACGTCTGAGAACAGGACTCCCACTTGGACAGCTATAAATCTATACTAAATCTACCAAAGTCAGAGAATAACCCGATCTGGGCCCCTCAGTTCAGGAAGGATGTCGAGATGCTGGAGCAGGTCCAGAGAAGAGCAACAAGGCTGGTGAAGGGACTTGAACACAAGTCCTATTAGGAGAGGCTGAAGGAGCTGGGGTTGTTTAGCCTGGAAAAAAGGAGGTTCAGGGGAGACCTCATCACTCTCTACAACTACTTGAATGGAGGGTGTAGCCAGGTGGGGGTCCGTCTCTTCTCCCAGACAGCTATCAGTAAGACAAGAGGGCTCGGTCTTCAGCTGTGCCAGGGGAGGTTTAGGTTGGATATTAGGAAGAAATTCTTTACAGAGAGGGCAGTCAGCCATTGGAATGGGCTGCCCAGGGAAGTGGTGGATTCTCCGTCCCTGGAGGTTTTTAAGATGAGACTGGATGTGGCATCAGTGCCATGGTCTGGGAACCACAGCAGTGTAGGATCAAGGGTTAGACCTGATGATCTCAGAGGTCTTTTCCAACCCTGTTGATTCTATGATTCTATGATCTCTGCACGGGAGTACGACAGTGCCTTTGGACCACTGATTTCAGTAATCTACAGTGTGTTTCCATGCCACCTTTTGTCCAGTTTTTCTCTTTAATCAGAGCCCCAGCAGTAGCCACCTCCAAAGTCCAGCAGACAAATGCAATTTAGCTGGAGCTGTCAAGCACGTAGCACTTTCAGGAGTATATTTAGAAGTCTGACTTAATAGGTAGGAGTCGGACTCCTCCTGTTTGAAAATCTCAGCTCACAAAGTCATGTTAAGCTGCTGACTCTTAAAAACCCTCAGCCTCAGATGGATTTTTCCATACTCCTTGAAGGCCCTGAGGTGACTGACTGCCTGCACACCAACTGATCCCCCAAATGTGACCTACCGAAGCCAAGAGGCTGCCCACCAATCCGCACCATCTTCCACAGTTCACCAGAAGCACTTGTAAACAACAAATTATTAGGAAATCTGTAAAAGTAAAGGAACACCAAACATGGCAATTAAAACACAGCAGTGTGTCAGATTCTGCCTGCGGGGATCTGCTCTTCCTGCATCCCTGCAACATTTGAAGTCAACAATAGCAGGGCAGCAGCTTGGGCAAACTGGGAAAACTCAAGGCAAGTGGGGTAAATGCACCTGCCAGCTCCTCCAAGTGTCCTATGGTAAATCAACATCCGCTGCTGAGAGAGGCACAGGAAAAGATTTCTAAGAAACAGGCTGTGTCCCAGCTTTACAAACATTGAGACTGTGAAGGTTTCATTTGAGCTGCATTTGGACACACCTAGGGATGGAATGTATTTCCATACCTGCTCTCAGGAATGTAAATGTTGACCACTGTTCTTGTGTTTGAGTACCATCAGTGCTTTTTTCCATACTATCCCCAGGAGGTCCCTGGTATCTCTGCAGAGATCCTTATTTCTTAGCAGGGGAAAGGAGACCAGTGGGTAAGAGACTTGCCTAACATAGTCAGGCGGCCTGTGATGGAGAAGAATTGTCCTCCCAGGTTTCCCACGCCCCAGGCCAAAGCTCCAACCTTCTGGCCAGTCTTGAAGGAAGACAAAGGTTTACTCTAGTAAGGTCAAAGAAACTTTCAAGAGGGCAATTAACAGTTTGAAAAACAAGTCCCTGGGGCAAACACTACTCTTTGTTATAAAAGCAGATCTAAGCATTGAGTCTTAGTACAGCATCCTCTCCAGCCTCCAGACCTCAGAGCCTTCTGGGCTGTGCAGCTGCAGAAGCACAAACACACACAGAGGTTGATATTTGCTCCCCAGCTGACTTCCTCCTTATCAGACAAATGAGTCATGGGCTCCCACTGCACAGGGATAACTCATGACATAATCATCATAACAAAATTTCGAACCAAGACCAGCCATGTGTAAAAGAAAAGCAAGAGGACAGCATCACTGACATCCCCATCCTGATTTTGGCCTTCAGCAGTAAAACTTCAAACAGCTACACCAGATTTTCTTTTTGGGTTTTACTTTTAAAAGCACAGCTAATGAACAATAGAATAAAAATGCCAAAATCACTTCACTCCAGTGTTCCTCTTCTGAAAGTGAGATAACCTTACATCACACTGACTTGTGATTTCACTGAGGGCTTGGACAGACAAATTCAAAATTCAGACACTGGAACTCACATGCCAGATTTCACTCTGGAAAGTGACAGGATGTACAGACCCATGACACTGATGCAATGAAGGTTCCAATAATTAACGTGAAGGAGTCTAAGTTGCTTCCTGCTCCTTTGAAAACATCCCAGGTGCTTTTTTTGAGGTCCAGGTTACCCTAAGACTAATGCTCACCTCTGCTGTGTCTGCACATCCATGACCAAAGAGATATAACCCTCAATGAGAGAAAAGGAGAAAAAGCGAATATGTCCCGAGTCTTCGTTGCCCACCACCGAGTCTTTTACTCTGAAGAAACAGAAGAGAAGAACATTAACTATGGCTAGAAGAACACAGGAAGGCTGTGAAACCAGAAATGTTCATACACTGACTTAGGGAAGTGACACAGAGTCCTGTCACTCTATACTGCTTTTAATTTTTTTATTTTGCAGGGGGGAAAAAGGCAATCCCCACATCTGACAAACCTCTCCCATCCCTGCCCCAAGGTCCCCTTGCAGGAGGTTGTGGGCCAGGAGCCACAGGCACCAAAGGGCAGTAGCCCAGCCAGCTGTACAGATATGCAGCACACTGATCACATGGCTGCTCTTAACTTCACTCTGAAAGGCTCAAGCTTTCCAAAACCAGCGGGTGTCTTCGGGCACCCTCAAGCCCGTTGGGCTTCCACCTATCAGGACAACCCTCCTGAGCCTGTGAAACCTTCCTCCCCCAGTGCAGAGCACTGGAGCAGCACAAGGCCACAGCAGATCCCTGAGCATCCCAGAGGAGCAATGGGAATCTGTGCTTCCAGACGCCAGGCACACCTCTCCTGGAAGCACGCTTCCCTGCATGACCTACCCATTGGAGTAAAACATGACATCCATTAGGAGTGTAGCAACAGTAGGAAGGGTATCTGGATCCAGGCTGGTGACGCAGAACATATTACTCGGACTGGAAAGGGGATGAATGACAGACCTCTGAACTGAAAGAGACACATGGACACATACAGTTGTGAAGCCACATCTGCAGAAGGTTCCTGTCCCAGCAGCCGTATTATCCATGCACTGGCAGAAGCCACAGAGAAAGCTCAAGGTATTTGTAAGGCAGTTCTTCATAGCTGAAGACATGTCGGCTCTCAGACAGGGACTGAGGGACCTGTGCACAACCTGCTCTTGTGGTGCTCTCCCTGGAGTATAGGGTGGTATCACCCTGAGTACCCAGCCCAGCTCTCTACTCCTAGGGGCTTTCACACCATCAGGTGTAGCCACATGAGTTGAGGGACAATCTAAAGGAGGTGCCAAGACAAACTGAAAAGTGGAAAAAAATTCAGGCTTCCACCATTTAAAAGGCAGGGCTATGGAAGGCATTTCTCCAGCTGTGGTTGTTGGCAGTCCATCCTCTTTTTCCTCATTTCTGGGGATGATTATATCTAGAAAAATTAAAAACCAGCTGCCACACAGCAGTTTGGCAAACACATTGCAGCCAGCAGTTGAGAAGCAGCCAGTATTTAGGCAACCAACTAGTAAATAGAGCAACACAGTAAACTACATACCTGTGCCTAATCAACACGTTTCACTGTGCCCTTCCTTAACGCATTTTTTGTTTCAGGCTCATTTTCTTAAATCAGATGATTTATAGCTCCTGAGTGACAAAACTGAGTGGCACTTCATAAAAACTGATCTCTGCTTTTTTTTTGGTTATGGGCAAGAAGTTACACAGAGGTCTCCAGCTAAACATATGTATTTAAGTTGTTCCTTTTCCTAATTGCGCCCTTTGGCTTGATGCTTGTTCCTCTAGACTGCAAACATACTAAGCTTTTGTACAGTCCTGAGCTCATTGTGGCCTTTATCCTCACTGGCACTGAAGTGTGAAAGTTGAACAACAATCTTCTCTGTGCATCACTGCAATACTTAAACAAGCTTTTATAGAAGCCATTTTTCTTTGGAATGTTGAAGCATGGAAATACGGGCTGCAGACAATGTTATTTTTGCAACTGCAGTGAACTGTACTTTACCTTCTATCCTACAAGAGGTATGTCTCCTCTAGAGATGTGAAACAAGCATTAAAAGGCCAAAATTCAGCAAAACTCATCAGCACTGCTCAGAAAGTTAAGAACCTACTCAAATCCTTGGTTGTGCTGGGATAGCCTTGTAAGATTACTATCTTACAACAGGATAAACATTCCCCCAAATGTTGGAGGAAGCTAGGAGGCAGGACTTCCACCCCATGTGTCATGGAGACCAACTCCCTGGCAAGCGGAGCCTGTGCTGGTCCTTACCTAGTTTTGGTTTGACAAATCCATTTGTTATCCCAAAGTCATCAGCAGCCACCGTCTCCCCATTCACTACTCTGAGGATGGTGAACTCGGTGGCCAGCGTGTGCATCACGAAGGGCAGGTCTCGCTCACGCACCTGGAGGTGACAACAGGATTATCTGGTGATGGTGTGCTCCAGAAGTGACAAGACACTGTAGTGGAGGGCACATGCTCTCAGGGCACCAAGAAGTGAACACGTGACTCCTGCTTGAGCCAGCGGGTGTGTAATGATAATTACCATCTGTGGTGTGTAATGATAATTACCATCTGTGTGTGTCTTAGAGAAGCACATTTGGTGATACCAGTGCGAGCCTCAGAGTGCTTTTAAGATTGTGAAAAGAGTGTGGAGATCTCTAAGAGGAGGATGTCTCATGTCTTTTCCAGCATCCCTTCAAGAACTCAGTACTTGTCTGTTCTTCAGCCTTGTTTCCTAAGGAAATATGGTTGGGCCCTGTGTGTAGGCACACACACACACACACACAAGTGTGTGTGAGACAGAAAAACAGTCTGTCCAAAACGACTTTGGAGCCTCTTGGCCATCACCAGCCAAGAGGCAGCAGACACTGTGTTCCTCTAACTTTCAGAAAACCAATGTCTGAGTGATGGTGGGAAATGCTGCCAGAACCTCCACTGAGGGAGAGACTGTAGTGTGGGCTCAGCACTTTCCTTAGACAACCAGACAACTCATGACAACAAATGCTTCATTCCATGGGAAAAGCTCCTGAGATGTCAGAAAGCCTAACTACAAGGGACAGAGCTCTGGGGAAAGCAGACATTGGTACTTCTACCGCTTCCCAAACAACTTGTTCCCAGAAACGCCTAACTGAACCCTCATCTAGTGGCAGTAACTCTGCCTTTTCCTCTCACATTCTCTTACCAGGATGAAGTCCGTCTGATAGGTGGAGAGCATAAACACTGAGATGTTTTGGTCAGCTAGTGGTGCTATTACTGACTTGGCAATTTTGGTCACTCCAATGGGCTGGGAGCTGGAGAAGCCACCTCCACCAGACACCACGTTGAGGGCAAGCCATGTCGCATCAGCCACGCTCAAGTGTTCGGAGGAAGGAAGCTCTGCAAAGAGACAGAATGGGAGGACAGAGGTTTGTTTGAGAGGCAGGGAGAACCAGGTCCATCATCTGTCAGTATGTGGTTAGCACAGACCTAAGTGCAAGGAATGAGATGAGCCCCCTTATCCAGCCAACCTCGTGGGCTTCCCCACGCTACTCCACAGGATGGTATTGTGCTGGTTTTTACACATAGTGATTGCATCAAATTCCATGGCAGGACTCATACAGATTGTTGAGGACAACATAGGGAGACTCAGTAATTCACCTGGATGGCTGTGTCCGGCCCTGGTGACCTTCCCATGTGGAAACAGCCCAAGGTCTTCGACTTGAATAATTTCTATCACACAACTTCTCTGAACACTTTACTCAGGCTTTTCTTGTCTCTTTTGTTTCCATTTTCCCACTCTAATCTAAACCCAAATTTTGTTCTCCTGGACTTGAGATGAAGGTTGACAGAACAGCCTTGGCAGTATCCAAGACTTTGCAGATGCAGAGCAGGCACCCTATGCATCTGTGGGCTGCTGCCTCCATCTCTAAAGCAGAAGAGCCACACAGTTCTGTAGAGATGGATTCTGCAGAGATGGAGGGATTACAAGGTAAGCACATACTAGGATAACGAAAATCTTTTTAAGAATAACCCCATTCCATTTGCTTCTAGTCTGTTGTGGTTAAGTAGTTAAAAATCTGCGGCTAAACCACTTAATACAAATTATTAACTGTTTCAAAGAACCCTTAATGCATTAACAGCCTAGAAAAACAGAGTCAGACTCTGGAATGAAGGCATACACTAAGATCCTCTGGACTTTGGATTTTAGTTGGGCAAATTATAAAAATAAACAGTTCAGATCGAGATCCAGATTAACAAATGCATAATTTCAGTTAAATCTACTTGGTGTAAGGAACCTGACCACAGATGCAGATCCAGCCAGTAAGGACATAGCAGAGGTCCCAGTGGAAACCTACACACTTAGCTCAGAGGAGAGATACAGCCCAGAAGTCTGAAAAGCATAAACCCCAGCATCACTGCTCCTGCAGTCAGTGCCCTGGCACTGCAGACTTGTCTCCATGTCCACCCACTCCTGGCTCCTCCATACAGTATCCTTTCCTTTTCCTTCAGTGAGACCTTTGGGAGCTGTTTCTGTACAGCCTCAAACACTGTGTAATAAATTCTTAACCTCACCTGCTCCGAATCCTCAGGCACCACTTCCCTGAGACAATGACAGCACTGAAAATCCAAAATGAACTGAATAACAAACACTGTTCATTTTGCTCTCTTCAATAACCTCAACTGTGTGTGGCATGAAAATAACCCTGAGCAAACACACTGCCAAACAGTGGAGATGCTGAGGGTTCTGCTTCTGCATTTTGATGTTTAACTTCATAAACCAATGTTTTTTACTGAGTAATCAGAGCTTACATGGAATGAAAACTAGACACAGTGAGAGGGGGTAAGTTTGTGTCATGGTTTGAGACAGCCCCAAAATCCAATTCCCTAGCTCCATCCCCCCTCCCACATCTCAACCCAATGTGAGATGGGTTTTTCCAGACAAAACACAACCAGACTCAGAATGGGGGAAAGGGAATATATTACAATGACTGTACAAATAAATACTATAACACATTATACACACAATCACAACTATCTCTACCATGACATATAGTATTTACAATGGATCAGATCTCCTTTCCCCTCCAAATAAAAGTCCAGGAGGGAAAGAAGGACAGATCCCTTCCAGTCCCAAAGCAGGAATCTCTTCTAAGGCAGCAGGTCTCCTCATCTCATGCATGCAGTAGTAACTGCATTGTTGTAGCTGGATCTCTGTTCAATACACACAAGGGGGTCTCCAAACCTCTCGGCTCTCCTTCGGTCCAAGTGAAGGTCTCACCTGTGGACTGCGAGCAGGGACAAGACTCGCGTCACCACAGGTATATCATGAAATGCAGGGGCATCTTCGTGAAAGTCCCTTCCTCAGGGGATTCAAATTCCCCTTTGCAGAGCTCCGTGCTCTGCCTCAAGGCAGCCGGGGGGCGAAGCCCTCCTCCACATTCCTCTCTGTCCCGGTCCAGCTTCCCAGGACGCTCTGAGCTTCTCAGTTCCTCTCTCTCTCTCTCCCTCTCTGGTGCTGCATGTCCAAAACTGCTCTCCAAAATAGGAGTCCATGTCCCTCCTTTCCAAGAGGGGTCTCAAAGGAGTTTTTTGGGGGTCTGGTATCAGTTCTTACCCCAAACTCTGTCTGTAAAGCTAGTTCTGCTCTCATCTGCTGCTGTTGGCTCTCTCTTGGCTCTCTGTCTCCTTCCAGGAGTTCTCTCTGTGTGCTGCATGCCGTTTGCTGTTTGGTTCAGTTCTTATCTGTCCTGGCTCTCTGCCACCGTTTCTCCGGTCAGTGCCGGCTGCTGCTTTCTCCGGCCACTGCCCACGATGGAGAAGACATCTCCCGGCATAACTACAGGCACCTAGCCCAGCTTTATGCTCTTCCAGGTCCCTGCAGCTCCCCCAGCCCGGGGCTGGGAGGCCCCAGAGGCCCCGAGGGGCTCAGAGCCCCTTCCTCGTGGCTCTACAACATGGCCACCTCACCTACAACCAAAAACTACAACTCTTCTCTTCCGTTTGCTTGTGGTATGTTTACATTTCTGCAGGAGCGCCCATTGGACAGAACTTCAAAACTTCCAGGGGTTTCCACCCCTTGGGGGTTACCACTTTTTCTTAGCCTCTGGGGGGAAAACAAGATTCAAACCACTACAGTTTGTGCAGGATGTTACCTTGGCGAGACCAGTGCAAGTTGCTTGCAGCAAATTATTGCAGCAAAATAACCATTTTCTGATCAGACAGCCCTTTGCATCAGAAAAGCACCCCCAAAGCCAAGCTTACTGCATCATCTGGCACGGAGAAACTAGGGCTCAAAACAACTGCTGCTGAACTCTGCTTGCCTCAGGGTCCTGTGCTCACCAACCAGTCCCATCCCCAGTGGGCATGTCCCAGGTGTGCCCAAGTTCACTAATAACACCTAAATGGCAGCGAGAAGAGATCACACAACTTATTTCCCTCTCTATAAACAGAGCAGATGATATTCCTGCTTTGTTCAGGTGACATGGGCCTGGATGCAGTTCATCACATACCAGTTTAAATACTATTCTGGGTCAGGGATATGATGGAAGATGTAGTATTTCATGGTGGACAGAGGTATTATCACGTTTCAGTCCAGCAGCAGCTCTGCTGGAGGAGCTGCCCCAAAAAGACTTCATCAACCCCTTCCTCAGGGGACAGGATGGCTGATTTGCCCATTGCAGTTGTAATTACTGGGAAGTGTTGATCACATTTGAGTTTATATGTTTAACAGGTCCTATGAAGTGTGACAGGGGCCATTGTACTTGCTTAAGTAACCTGCTTCTCACAATTCAATTAACTTTGCAAAAAATATATACAAAGTGATTGAAATACCATTTTTGGACACTGTCTCCACTAGGCAGCCAGACGGAAAAATACAGCCCAAATTTTAAGGAAACAAACTCAGGCTGGAGGATCAACAAATTCATCTAAATATTATCAAATAAATCACGTGGGACAGTGCTTTGCCCAGGATCCTGTTAAATGCTGTAAACCCAAGGAGAGCCAAAAACACCAGTTGTAACATTAACACAGAATCACAGAATATGCTGAGTTGGAAGGGACCCACAAGGATCAGCAAGTGCAACTCCTGGTCCTGCACACGACCATCCCCAAGAGTCATACTGAGTGCCTGAGAGTATCATCCAGACACTTGAACTCTGTCAGGCTTGGTGCTGTGACCACTGCCTTGGGGCGCCTGTTCCAGCACCCAACCACCATCTAGGCAAAGAACCTTTTTACACAGACTCAATGAGGTAATAAATATAGAAGAAAATGAGGAATCGCCCACGTTTCAGTACCAACCCACCATCTCTACCACTCAGCCCACGGGAGAGTAGAACTCTGGACACCCCACAGCTTCAGCACTGCCACATCCTCTGTCCTCCCATCAGGCAGAAATCTCTCTGCTGGGTTATCAAGATTCTCTGGCAACTGGTTTATCAGAGTGCACTCACTCCCGCTTCTGATCATGGAGGACATCTCACCTCTAGCTGAGAAGGACCTCTCAAAGGCTTTATTATAATCAAGGGGTTTGTTTTGAACTTTCACTGGGGTGAAGCCTTAAGATTTTTGCAGTTTTGCTGTGTAAGGCTTTGTAGAGCTGCTGCCAACAGCAGGCACCAGAAGCAGGTCAGCTGCTTGCAGGCTCCACAACCATTGTTTTCTGCCCAACATCACAACTACCACTGGCAGAGCAGGGTCCTAGACTCCAGCCATCATTCCATGGTTGTTGGCATGGAACCCCACCAGGCTTGGCAAGATGTGAACAATTTGATAGCCCAGGATAATTTTCCCTGGCAGTGCAACACTGGGTACCAATTGCTGGTGGGCTCCAAAAGCCTGTGGGACTGCTCTCCATTGGCACAGCAGTTTTCTCTCGTCCAAAATTCTTCCCACTGCATGCAATCTGCAGTGCTACCAAGCAGACAGATGCCATGTGGGACACTGCACCTCCCAGTATTAAACCTCCCAGGTATTAAACAAATGCCAATCCCTGCACAAACCAAACCCAACCAATACATCCAATAAGGTTTAGGGAGTGAGTAACTGCTTATTCGTATCATGGGTTATTTAAAAGGTCAGGGCTCTGTCTGGAGCCTCACTGGCCCATTTGGCAGCCCTAGCTGAAGTAGAGCAGCCTCCATGGCACACATCATCCTGGGAAGAGAGGTGGTGAGTATCATAGCAGCCATAATTGGCTCCTCAGCAAAAATAATCAATACCATTTCCAAGGAGGACAACAAACATTGGCTGAAACCCAAATAAGGACTGAATTGCTGCCGCTGGAGCACTATGCAATGCTGTAAGTACTGTGAGCTGGTGCTCCATGTGGCACTCCTAAAATACCTTTGGGAGGTTGTTGGGCAGATGATGAGATTCCAGCTCATGGGTCTTTG